GGGGGCGACCTCAAGGCCCCGGGGGAGTCCCTGCGGCTCCTCTGCCGCGGCTCCGGCTTCACCTTCAGCAGCTACGCCATGTCCTGGGGGCGGCAGAGCCCCGGGAAGGGGCTGGAATACGTTGCTGGGATCAGGAATGATGGTGGTTACACCTGGTACGCGCCGTCGGTGCAGGGCCGGTTCACCATCGCCAGGGACGACGGGCAGAGCTCGGTGACGCTGCAGATGAACAACCTCAGGGAGGAGGATTCCGCCACCTATTTCTGTGCCAAAGCTGCTCACGGCGGCGCCGGGGACGGGGGAGGGCGGGCAAAAACCACCCTCGTTGAGTGGGTGGGTGGAACAGTTGAGTGCGTTGGGTGTCGCGGTTGGGTGGGTCGATGACACAGTTGGGCGGGTCAAAGGAACAGTTGAGTGCATTGGGTGTCACGGTTGGGCGGGTCGATGAGAGCGTTGAGCGGGGTTGGTGTCATGGTTGGGTGGGTCAATGACATCATTGGGTGGGTCAATGACACTGTTGAGTGGGTTGGGTGTCACGGTTGGGTGGGTCAATGACACCGTTGAGTGGGTTTGGGTGTCACGGTTCGGTGGGTCAATGAGAGCGTTGAGCGGGTTTGGTGTCATGGTTGGGTGGGTCAATGACATCATTGGGTGGGTCAATGACATCATTGGGTGGGTCAAGGACACCGTTGGGTGGGCCAATGGAACAGTTGAGTGCGTTGGGTGTCACGGTTGGGCGGGTCGATGAGAGCGTTGAGCGGGGGTGGTGTCGCGGTTGGGCGGGTCGATGACATCATTGGGTGGGTCAAGGACATCGTTGGGTGGGTCAATGACACTGTTGAGTGGGTTGGGTGTCACGGTTGGGCGGGTCGATGAGAGCGTTGAGTGGGTTTGGGTGTCACGGTTGGGCGGGTCGACGAGAGCGTTGAGCGGGGTTGGTGTCACGGTTGGGCGGGTCGATGACATCATTGGGTGGGTCGATGACGCCGTTGGGTGGGTCAATGGAACAGTTGAGTGCTTTGGGTGTCACGGTTGGGTGGGTCAATGACACTGTTGAGTGGGTTTGGGTGTCGCGGTTGGGCGGGTCGACGACATCATTGGGTAGGTTTAGTGTCAGGGTTGGGTGGGTTTGGTGTCGCAGTTGGGCGGGTCAACGGCACCATTGAGTGGGTTGAATGTCATGGTTGGGTGGGTCAACGACACCGTTGAGTGGGTTGGTGGAACTCTTGCAGGGGGTCAGTGATGTGGGTGGTTGGGTCAATGACATCATTGGGCGGGTCAATGACATCACTGGGTGGGTCAATGACGTCACTGGGTGGGTCAATGACATCACTGGGTCAATGACATCATTGGGTGGGTCAATGACATCATTGGGTGGGTCAATGACGTCACTGGGTGGGTCAATGACATCATTGGGTGGGTCAATGACATCATTGGGTGGGTCAATGACGTCACTGGGTGGGTCAATGACGTCACTGGTGGGTCAATGACATCATTGGGTGGGTCAATGACATCATTGGGTGGGTCAATGACATCATTGGGTGGGTCAATGACATCACTGGGTGGGT